ATAATCCCAAAACTGGTTAAAAGATAAATTGTCTAGCAAGAATGATTAGTTGGGGAAGGGTCTGTGGAATATATACATACTTTAATTCTTCTGATATTTAGATTATTCATTATTAGGATGAGAAATGGAAAGATTAATTTCGTCTGCAATGGCTGAATCATCTATCCTACTACATTTGTGTATTCTTTGTTATTTCTTCAATTTTTTTGCTCTAAAAAAAAGTGCATCGAAACTCAGTCTAATCCCAAAAAAATACATGGTCATGGATATTTATTGTTACAATTTTAAAGTCTAAAATACTGCAATAAAAGCTCAAATAGAGTTTACCAATCACATGAATTATGGAAAGAACAAGTTCATAGCAAAAGAGTCGCACTTATCCAGTTTTTTTGAAAAAAAATTCTTGTAGACCATTCCTAAATCCGAAAGCTTAAGAAACGTTATCTTTGGTTTCATCACTGCCTTCTCCGCTCAAAATACCACCATGGACAGCAACATCCTCGCCGGTGTTCACACCAAAGATCTCACCTGAATAACATCACAACAACAAAAGGTTACCACCAACATCACTATGAATCTCAAACCTTAGTAAACAAGAATATGCATCATAAAGTCTCAAGAGTCTCAGATCAATGGAAGTATACGAAAAACCAAAGATTGACTATGTCTAATTGAAAGAATCTAGTTTCAGATAATACTTGCATATGCAGATAAAGAATCCTATTCGTTGAAAGAATCTAGTTTGAGCCTTTGAGGGAATACTTGCATAATTCCCCTTTGAGATAAAAGATTCTTTATCCGACAAGGAACAGTTACAGAAATATACAAGATGCTAAAGCAAAATTGACAAGAAGCTAACCTATTGAAAAGAACAGTGACAATAGCGTCAGTGGCGGATCCAATAATTTTTTGAGAAATTACCATATGTATATTAGCTGTCCACGTATAATTAATTTATCTAACACCATGTAAAACATAACGTAATAGTTAGCATTTATGATAGACTAAATTCCGGTTTTACCTTTATATAACTAATACAGATTTTTACAATTTAAAAAGTAAAAATATCCTTTTATCCAAAACTTTTCTTTACATAATTCTCATGACATAGCTAATTATATTGTTCGTTAACAAGAGATAGTTACATGTTATATAGTTAACTATATTTACACAGTACTCATGACATAGCTAACTATACTGTCTATTATTAATGGATAATTAGCTATACAGGTTACATAGTTAACTATATTTACACAATATTCATGACATAGCTAACTATACTATCCATTAACAAGATATAGTTAGCTATATGTGTTACATACTTAATTATATATATACAATATTTATGACATAGCTAACTATACTGTTAGGTTTGAAATCCCAAACACCGTCTCCAAAACAATCATTCACCCAACATCACAACAAATATAGTCCATTTTGCCATCTGAAACAAATAGTTAACTACGGTATTAGAATTATAGCTAACTACAACATAAATATAGTCAACTATACGTATTTCTGCTTTCTTTTTGAGATCCACCGCTAATCCGGCTTTCCATATTTTTCACCACTAATTTTTATGGATCTTTATTACTAGCAATAATTACTAAATTTAATAGGGGCAAATTTGTCCAAATATTTTTTTCTCTATCCTACTCACCTAAATATTTTTTATGGACATGTTAGTTTCATAATTTCTTGCTCAAAACATAATATTGAACTAATTAACCCTATTTTTTTTACTAAGGTCAATGTATAATTTAAAACTATTGTAATTATATGTTTTAAAGTCTTTAATAAAAATATAAATCATTCTATTAAAATACTCTATATCTTTCATACGAGTATTTAGTTTTCTCTGCCGGTATCACTTGTTATAGTATTGAACACATCTTTTTCGATAAAGAAACTAAACAGTCATTTAAAAACTAATCTCTAATTTGTTAACAGCGATATGTCTTCAAGATTTTTATTTTTATTAAGAGGGTTAGATCATTTAAAGGAAAGTGGACTGAATTCTGTTTCTAATTTAATAAAGTGAGTCACGATGAGTTAAGAAAATAAGCAAATGTGCTTTAAATAGTTTTTTGCTTATGTTTCAAAATATAAATTGAACAAAAAAAACTAAATTGAAACATGGTTCAAATGACAACTTAAACCAAATTTCAAACATCTAAACCAATGTAATAACAAAGTAAAGAAAAAAAATGGTGGTTCAACTGACCCACTATATGTATATGTAGATTCGCCACTGAATAGCATCCTTGATTTTCTTCCCAAGACGCTTCAACTTCCTCCTTCATTTTCGTCATAAGCATGGCATTGATCTCTTCAGGACTGAAAGCCTTAGCCTCACCATCCTTGATCTTGACTTTTTCTCCTTTTCGAGATGCATTACCTTGTCTTCCAATAACCGCGAGGGGGCTCAAGGTCGTAATGATCTTTATCTGGGATCTAATTATAAATATACATAAACAACATTATTAACTCTACTAGCAAACAAGATTGATTTCAGATAAAATCAAAAGCCACATACCTCAAACTCTTGATTCTTCTCTGCTCGATCTGGCTCCAGTTTTATCCTTGGATTAGGACCATCTCCATATCCACGGAATAGAAATGTGAGAGAAGATGTTGAGGTTTGATATCACAGGCTTTAGGCTCATCTTTCTAGTTGTCTGACCCGCCAATATAACCATTACTTCCAACAATACATAAATGTATCCATCATAACTTGTTTCTTCTCCGTTACTGCTTTTTCAAATGGCCACTAATTCCCCATTGATCATCTTACAATCGTATATAATCACGTCGTGTCCACTAGCATATTTAGCCCATTTCCCATTCTTCATCTTCTTCATCGGACCACGGTTGATTTCACGTTTATCCCAATCCTCAAAAGTCAACAAACCCGCATCAACAAGATGGGTTCTAAGCATGATCAGAGCTTTTTCTAAAGTCTTGTACTAATGATATACACGAGTTATATAGTACTTGTCTTCATCGTTAACAACTTTCTTTGGGCAGCAACAATCAAAAACTTTTTTTGCTGGGGTTTTCCTCGGCTATACTGTATTTTTTAACATACATAAGCCCTTCCTCCATGTCGTGACCGTAGCAACGATGAGA